ATTGAACTCAGTGCCTCACACATGCTAGGCAAGTGCTCTACCACTGAGCTCCAATCCTAGCCCACTCCTTTTGCTTCTTTAGGAACTAAATTCTAAATGAGTGGGCTCCCTAGGAGGGATCTCCGTGGGATCCAGAAAATTTCCCTTTACTCAGAAACTTTCTATTTTCACTACTCACACTTTATCCACATGGAAAATTTATTCCTTATTACCTATTTTATATTTTTGATGCTATATTATTTAGCATGCAATTTGTAGCTAATCTTTAATAAATATAAAATATTCTTGTTTATAATACTTTTTGCCTTGAGGACTATTCTATCTGATATTAATGTCATTCTTCAATTTAATTTTCACCTTTCTTTTATTTTAAAAATTTCCATCTTAGTTTGTTGGCAAGATGCAAAACACCAATAGAAGAAAATGAACATGAACACAATATACCTATATTTAAAGTCACAGAAGATCTTATTAATGGAATAAATGATGTTTAAGTGCTTGACTGATTTTGTACAAAGAATACATATTTTTCAAGTGCCCATGTGGGTTCCCATGAGTTCTAGGTCCTTGCTTATCTCTATTTATTAAAACTTACTTACTATAAACTTGCTAGTATAGTACGTGGCATAGGGCAGATGTTGATAAATATTTACTGGAAGAGTGACTGAATGCAAATCAAAACAAACAAAACCCCACAAAAGCAAATCCTCTGGAACTAGAGAATATTCTGCTAAGTGAAATAAGCCAATCCCAAAAAACCAAAAGGCCAAATGTTTCCTCTGATAAGCAGATGCTGACCCATAGAGTGTGTGTGGGGGAGGATGGTAGGGAAGAATAAAGAAACTTTGGATTGTGCAGAGGAGAGTGAAGGGAGAGGAGGGGGTGTGGGGATAGGAAAGATGGTAGAATCAGACGTTATTACCCAATATACATGTATGATTACACTATGGGTGTGACTCTGCACCACAGATAGACAGAGGAATGAGAAGTTGTGCTCCATTTGTGTACAATGTGTCAAAATGCATTCTACTGTCATGTACAATTAATTAGAACAAATTTTTTAAAAATTAAGAAGAAAACAAATAGGAAAAACAAATCAAACCCTCCAAAGCAAAATTGTAACAGTATCATCTTAAATGATATGTAAGAAAAACTTAGCTAAAGGAGTTAAGTGTGCGAAACAGGCAAGCTCATAGAAAGTTTAATATGACACAAAGAGTATGAGTTTACAGATTGTTCTGGGTACTCTAAGGAGAGAGTAGTGACTGACTAAATGTACCTGACAGAATCAGAGAAAGCTCCATAGAGGAAGAAACATTTAATTTCCTGGGGACTGCAGCTTTGGTTTGGTTTGGTCTATACTTTAATATTAATTTGAAATCTGAATTGTCTCTCTAACCTTAGTATAATGAAGGGCAGAGTAGGTGTTCAATAAATATTTGTCAAACAAATGTGTAAATGTCAGGATATTCAGAAGGAAATTCTAAGATCCATCTTTGAGCTGGAACTGCCATTCAACTAGTATTGAACGAATTAGGACACAAAGAATGTAAGGGCCAATAAATCAGAGGAGCATAGGGCTTAGAAATGGGACAGTAGAAAATAATAACAGATATAAAATGTACTATCTTCTGAATTATATAATGCTTCTGGGTATTTTCTCTGGCAAAACTGTAGCATTACTTATTTCCCAAGGAAATTCTTCAATCTCAAGGACAAGATGACATCCTTACTATTAGTAGTGGTTATATTATTAAACATACTTTTAAAGTACTACATTCTATTATAATATGCAGCAAATTATAAACTACTCATATGAACAACATTTAGTTGATGCGTATGATATTCTACACATCTTGCTAAGGACTTTATGTTCATAGAATGCAATGGAAATGAATAAAAACTTGGATGCTAACATCTTTGGTTCTAAAGGAGGTTCTGATATACCTTTTTCATGTGACTTCCAACAACTGCTTTTAAACTCTAGGTGATTTAGTTTGCTCATCTCTATAATGGGAATAATACCATCTGCATCTCAAAAGTCTATAACAGAGAGGACAGTGATATAGGCATGCCTACTCAGTAGACTGAGGCACGAAGATTGCAAGTTCAAGGCCAGCCTCAGCAACAGAGTGACACCTTTTTCTCAAAATAAAAAAATAAAAAGGCCTGGAGTATAGCTCAGTGGTAGACTGCCCCTTGGTTCAATCCCTAGTACAGGCCAGTGTGTCCCAATTTATACCCTATCCCCAAGCAGTGTGTCAGCAAGGATTGTTATTGTTAATATTTGATGACTTAATGGGTAAAATATTGATTGCTAATGGTGAGGTTGCATATGTTTTCCAAACTCTTACTTACTTCTGTGAGTAGTTCATGTCTATCATAAACATATCAGTTAATTTACTTGTTCTATCTACACCTCCTTCTCAGATAATCTAAAGCCTTTTCTTTATAATAACGAGAGCTACTGGAACAAGGGTTGGACAGCTAATCCAAGTCAAACCAATCCATGGCTTGCCAATCAGTCTTGAGAATTTAAACTAAGAAAAGCAGAGACCAGTGAAGCAGACATGCAAAAAAAATGGCTACAGAGGCCCAAGTGAGACTGGGCAGTCTCAGACTCTGACTTTCCAGGACAGTTCCAGTGTGTACCACTTTTCTTATTTTATGGATCATGTTCACAGGGTGGGCTTTTAGGAAATGATTGAATCACCAGGGCTGTAATTTCATCAGTGGATTAATTCACTTGAATGATTAAAATTTTGAATGGGTTTGTTGGAGATAACTGTCAGGAGGCAGGGAATGGCTGGAGGAAGTAGGTCCTGAGGACATGACTTTGGGAACTCTATCTGTCCCTGGTCCTTTCCTTTCTCTCTCTGCTTCCTGGCTGTCATGAGCTGAGCAGCTTTCCTCTACGATGCCCTTCCACCATGATATTCTGCCTCGTCACAGGCCCAGAGCAATGCAGCCAGCCAATAATGGACTGAATTCTCTGAAACTGTGATCCAAAATGAACTCTTCCTCCTCAAGGTTGTTCTTGTCAGGTATTTTTATTACAATAATAAAAGCTGACTAACATAAGAATATCATTTACCCCTTTGGAGTTCTGGTTTCTAAAAAGCCTTTTTTTTTCTTCCTGTAGTTTTATTTCGCTATAGATTCAAATTAAGATACATTTTTAGTAACTGCAATTTTCCTCTTCACAGGCAAAAACCCATAAGGTGTTCTTTGATTATGTGACCAAAGAACAAATCCTACTACAAAGATGGCACACAATCCAGACTTTCCCTTCTAGCTGGCCCTCAAAACCCACATTTACAATATTTTACACCAATTAATTCTATACCAATATTCTATAACAGTATGTAGATATTTGCAAAGTGATACCTTTTCCCA